CCTCTCTATGGGAAAAGTGGCGTCTAGTAGTAATCTATGTAGTCTATCAAATCTCAGGAAATTCGAAGGGAATGCAAGAAACAAAGGAAACCCATGGTGAGATGTATAAGTGAATATGAACCCTACAGACTGATGCGCTCATCCAACGGCCAAAGTCCGTCGGTGGCACATATCCATATGGATCTTCCGGTACTAAGGTATCTTACATCCCTTCAACTATCCTATCTGTCTTGTGCCCTGTCCACCTCCAGCCGCTTTACATGGTGTGCCCCTTCTGAAAGCTGTAATCATCTGCCTCCCATGACTGCATCTGCGTCAGGGGTACCTGGTCCGGGGCATTCCTTACTCTCGTCGGCGTCCGAATAGCAGTAGGCAAGTGGTCGAAGATGTAATCAGGTAGAGCAACCTCTGCACCCTCAGCTTGCGACTGCTGCTCCTGCTGCTGCTCCTGATCATCGTCATAGGGAGAAGCAATCTTCCAGCCTGCGCGATCAAACCTGCGCTTCACCGCATCGCTCACCCCCACAAACCGGAACTCGACGCCGCTGCCCGCAAAAGCCCGCAACTCAGCCTTTGCGTCCTCAATCGCGTGGAGACCGGACGCATCGATAAAGGGGGCCTTGGTCATGTCGATGATGACGATTCGGAGGGCCGGAAGCAGGTACTCGGGCTGGGTCAGGTTGGCGCGCTTTCTGAGGTACTCCACGCGCTTGTCGCGGCAGTTGCTCCAGGCGCGGTCGTTCTTGTTGACGGTCGAGGGCACAGAGGCGTGCCAGATCATGGCGGTGTCGACGATGCGGTTCCGCACCCCCTCGGCGTTGGCGTACATCAGATCGCTCTCGAGGCGCAGGACGCAGACGCCAGGCGGCACGTTCTCCCCAGCCTCCCAGCACGGCAGCGAGAACACACCCGGCTGGCCCTCGAGGTCGACTCCCAGCATGGCCTTGGGGCGGGAGCTCATGAAGCGGCAGAGGGTGTAGATGACTAGCACCCCGGCGCCGAGCTCGAAGCCGATCTGGGGCGTCGCCATTAACGCGCCGTTGAAGGTCAAGAGGAAGGTGATGAAGTCGGCGAAGGACCACGCCCAGTACTTGCCCATCTCGCCCGGCGAGGGCATGGTGTCGATGACGGCGACGATGATGATGGCCGCGACGGCGGGGAGGGGGATGTACTCGATGAAGCTGCTCAGGGGGTACATGCCGGCTGCGACGATTCCCGCGACGAAGAGCGCGGAGATGGGGCTCCTGACGCCCGAGGTTGCGGCCACACTGGCGCGGGTGATGTCGCCGCCGCCGACGGGGAGTCCGCCCATGAAGGAGTTTGCAATGTTGGAAATGCCGAGGTGGACGAGTTCCTGGCTGGGGTCGATCTTGTAGCCGCGCATGCGGCCCAGGCCCTTGGCGACGAGGATGTGCTCGAGGGCGATGCCGAACCAAACCATGAAGCTCGGGAAGAAGAGCGACTTGATGAGGTCGAAGCTCGTGCCCTGGACGAAGGAGACCTCCGTCTCGACGGGCGACACGGACAGCCACAGCGGCTTGTCGCCGCGGTCCTTGTTGACCATGTACGTGATCCAGGGGGTGAGCAGCAGGATGAAGAGGTTGCGGTTGCTCGTGACGAGGCGGACGATCTCGTTCGTGGCGCCGAACTTCTTCTGGACCTTCTGCAGCGCGACGAGGAAGACGATGGTGCCGAAGCCGAGGGCGACGGCAAAGGGGTTCGTCTTGGGCAGGTTGGCGATGAACTCGCCGGTGAGGTGGGAGAGCATGGGGCTGACGCCGACCATGCCGAAGAGGTGCGGGACCTGGGCCATGTAGGCCATGATGCCCATGCCGCAGCCGAAGCCGAGCACGATGGGGACCGAGAGCGCGTCGAAGAGGAAGCCGAGGTTGAGGAAGCCGAAGAGGGCGGACCAGATGCCGGCGCAGAGGGAGAGGACGGCGGCGACTAGGGCGGGGGGCGGGCCCGGCTTGGGCATGGCGGCGTTGATGCCGCCGATGATGATGGAGGGGAAGAACATGGGCCCAAAAGAGACATCTGATTTGCCGTAATGATCAGTAAGATATCCCCGCACCTTTTTGGAGGCAAAAGCATGTGTGCTTACCTTTCGAAGTTCCCATCACCGCGTAGAGAATGTTCGGCAGCCAACACGAGGTGAGTGCAACCTGGATCGGAACACCAGCCAAGGCCGAGTACATGAGAGCCTGGGGGAACATGACGAGCCCAACCGACACACCGGCGACCAAATCCCCGAGCAGCCAGGCGGGCACGTACGACGAGATCCAGATGAAGACGGGAACCTTGTTGAGGAAGTAGCGTCCCGTGCCAGCACGGAGAGTCCTTACTCCAATCTTGGCCCCCGAGCCGACGCGGGAGAAGTTGGCGTCTTTCTTCAACCCGGCACCGATGCCGGCGATTTTGGCTCCCAAGTTCGCGCCCATGATGGCGGTTTGGTTCCTTCCGGGAGGGTCGTCGGGAGGGGTTGTCGTCGGGGCTTAGGATCGAAACGATGAAAACGAAAATTCAACACAGAGTTTTGACAAATTCCACAAAAAGGAGAGTAGTTAGCCAAGAGGATGTAAAGAAACAGCCAGTCGAATACAGAGGAAAACAGAGAGCGATGTAGACTTCATCCTGGGATTTACTCTGATGGGGACACCAAGAGATAAAGAACTTCGAAATCCCAGAGGCACAAGCAGGGTAGTTGAGAAAAACGCCTAACAAGAATCATTGCTTTCTCGATACCGAGCTGCTCAATACTACATCTCGCTAGTTTCATAATTACAGATGCAGAACGCCTCGGGCTAAGCCGCGAGTTTTGGGTGGTCTGGGTGGTTTGAGTGGTTTGGGGGGGTGAAAGGCGGCCATTCCAGAAGGACCAATCGACGATTTTCACGAGACCGAAGTCGACTGTCTCGTTTCAGTTTTGAGGACGATCCACTGTTGGGGCCCCTGATTGGCGAACCATGCTAATTTTGGGGCTCGGCGGTTCGTCGTGTTTTCTGGGGCTTTTTTAGGGGCTGGGATATTGACTCAAAAAACGGGGGCGGGCAACAGCTGCGCAAGGCCAATGCAATTCAGAGTTTCCCTTTTTTGATAAGAATGGCTATGCGTTCGATATCGCAATATCACATTCGATATTCCGCTGCGGCTGCTGTTAAGTGCGACGTTCTGCAGATTGCGATTGACAGTCTATTGGTAGCGCCTTCGTCGGCAAAACGGCACTGCTTGTCACATGAGTCGCGAGTCTGTTTAGAACGGCGGGCCATGGTTGGCGATTGCTTGAGGGCGATGGTGCTTTCCAGGGATGTCAAGAAAGATTTTCGAGGCTTACTGGTGAAAACAAGAGCATCGCTTTCGGTAGTAGACAGAAAACTTGTCTGAATTCTGCCTCAGGAATTATGTAGTTTCGAACACACGATGCACTTGGTTCAGCACTTATTCTCGAGTTCCATATGGGGAAATAAACGCAACAAGTAACAGAGAACGGTCACCTTCTCACCGGCTGAATACGAAACAAGAATAATTGGGGCTGTGGTTAACAGTAAGGCTTATGGAGAGACCCTGAAGCAACACGAGTGTTCTTTCGGCTGGCCGTCTTCAATGTTGAGGGCGACGTGATCAACGTTCAAAGCGAACGCGAGGGTGAAGAACCAATTCCCGAACAACTTCAACCGCTACAAAGTCGAATGCCCATATACCGTTGTACTCCAAGCAAAATGAGAACTGCAGTATTATTTCCACCAGAAGAGGGGCTTCTTGTCGCCCAAGACGAACTCGACGAACTCGGTTCTCAACATCACTGCTGTTATGTCAAAAGCCTCATCAGCTACATGAGCACGTTGATCTTACTATAATATGTGATATTCATTGTGTTTAAATCCTACGTACCTAGTGTGTCAGTCCAAGTGTCGCACAGAGTTCTAGAGTAGGGAATGCCCCTTTGGGTGTAGGGCTCGATGTATTCGAACCTGCCCTGCCAAACTTTCTGCGCGCGGCTATCTCCCGGTTCCTTACAAGCGGCCCCGCCCGCGCCACTCCGGCCCCTCCCCCTTCCCCTTCCGTGCCGTAACACGGTGGAAACCCTCACCGCGATCATAACTGGGATAACACCTCGAAAATCAAGCAACATGATGGCTTTCTACCCAGGCTTATGGGTATTCTACTATTGATTGATCATAATTTGCCATGTTAAGAACGACCTGTTGTAGGGGATACATAATTCACAAAGTTCGTGAGTGTTCAGCGTTTACCGATTTGTTCGGGATGAACGATGACGCGTTCTTTATGCCAATGTATAATTAGCTTACCGTATAAACGCTTCATCTGTAGTTGCTCACAGCTAGCTACGACATAGATCTACTGGAATTGTGTGGCGTAAAATGTATCCCGTAATCCACTGGGTTTATTGAACTTGCGGGCTGACTTGGTCCAGCTGTTCATGGATACATGTAAGTTGCACGAGAATACGTGACAAAAACAGGTGGATGTGATCCAATTGACTGCGCCAGAATGCAAATCCACGTAACATTGCTTGGCCCTGTTTCGGGGACGCCAGCCTTGATTAAGACCTCCCTGCGGCGATCATGTTCAACTGAGAGTCCTCTTGGAGTAGATTTCTTCCGAGCGCACAGACGCTCCCGGCCTCCGGGCCTGTGCGAAGACCGCAGGCTCGGCGGGGAGATAGGGAGTCAGCAGAATGGGTGTCGCCGCAAGTTTGTATGGCATCATGATTGGCGAGAGCTTCAACACCACGTCAGCTGGGGGCGCGATCTGCGACACTGATCATGGCCCGCGACAACGATGTGTTTTCTTCCAGTTCACGGGTGAAGTTTATTGTTTCCCCAGACGGTCGGCGATTTCAACGACTGCCCGCTGAGTAATTTTGTTTCATGATGTACTTAAATGCAACATTGAGTACCATCGAGATGATCTTTGGCTGGGCGTGTTGATGATAGTTGCTCATTGATTATGTGAGATTTCATGTGCAATTATCAGCAATGTCTGACGAAAAAACACCAACACCTCCGCAGTGGGACACTTTCCAGCGACTATGCCACAACATTCAAATCGTTGCATCGGATCTCTCTGCGACCATTGACAAGAAAAGGCATACTCTGCCCATCAGTAGCGAGTTCCAATTCGCGGCCGCCGACCCTTTGTGCGCCCAGCCTGTTAACCATCCCGGCCGATTCGACGCCGAGATCGCCTCGTGCGTCGTCCACGGAAGCATCCCCCCATGCATCGACGGGACGTTTTACCGCATCATCTGCGACTTCGTCTTTGCCAACCGTAATGGATATGACATCTGGATTAACGGTGACGGTGCCGTGAACGCTTGGAGAATCTCGAACGGCGTGGTCGACTTCAAGCAGAAGTTCGTTCGGACCCCGCGCTTCATCCTAGAACGAGCGGCTCGGAAACCACTTTGGGGCACGTATCGAAATCCCTACGCAGGTGACCCGCGAGTCTTTGACCAGGTTCAGTCCACGGGCAACACGCATGTTCAGTGGTGGCAGAAGAAGTTGCTTGTCCTCAAGGAAGATAGCCCGCCGTTGCTCGTAGACCCTGACACATTGGATACGATTGGTAATATACCCGTGGCCCTGTGTCTTTGAAATCGAGAAAAAGGAAGAGAAGCTGAAAGAAGAAAACTTACAGGGGTTTACGACTTCGAGGGCCAAATGACGGCCAAGACGTTTTGCGCCCACCCCAAGACGGATGTTTCCACTGGTGAGATGCTCGGTTTCGGCATGGAAGCTGCTGGGCTTGGGTAGGTGACTGTCATGTGGACTCTCTGAGGCAAATATTGACCTCACCCACTCAGCTCGAATGACCTTGCCTACTACAGGTTCAGCAAAGAGGGGAAATTGCTGGATGAGTGTTGGATCAAAACTCCGGTCGTCACCTGGACCCATGACATGGCCGCAACTGACAAGTGTGCTCCAATTTCCCCCTGAGATTTCGGATTCGAATGCGTTGAAGGGAGAATGGATGCTGACATGAAAGTCCAGTTATGTTATCTTCGGGATGACGCCGCACGAGTTTGACTTCAAGCATATGAAGGAAGCTAACGGAACTCATTTTCGACGGAATCCTTTCCTTGTAAGAAACTGCTGGGTCCTTCCCCATTGCTGAACGCCATCCGTAGACTAACTCCTTCCTGCCCAAAGGCCAACCACTTTGGTGTTCTTCCACGTCGTGGCCCAAAACCTGAGGACGTAAGATGGTTTACCTCGCTAAAGAACCACTATTGGGGCCACGTCTGTAACCATTTTGAGGGCAACGACGGCTGCATTTACATCGATACCTTCCTCCACGATACGGATGCACTTGGCGTTTTTCCCAACAAGCATCCCGAACTCGAGTCTGCGCACAATCCCGGCCACCGTCCTCCCGTGGGCAAGTTCGTCAGGTTCAAGATCGACCCAACCGCCGAAAGTACCGAGATGGAGCCACCGAAAATCATCAGCGATGTGGCCGGCGAGATGGCTCGTTGCGACGACCGCTACACTACGAAGCCCTACAACCACGCCTTCGGCTCCGGCGGCCCCACACCCCGGGGTTTCGGTGCCGTCCTACACATTGACATCGCCGCCGAAACCACAAAAATGTGGAACGCAGGCCCGGATGTGACGGTCGGGGAGCCTTGCTTCGTCCCACGCTCCGCGGATGCGCCGGAAGCGGACGGATTCCTGGTCGTCTCCTGTCGCGACCACACCACGACCCTCGGAAGCCTCGTGATCCTAGACACGCGAGATATCACGGCGGGTCCTGTGAGCATTATTCAGCTTCCGTTCAGAATCAGAGAGGGTGTACATGGTAATTGGGTGAGTTGAAATGGAAACCCCCTTTCCCCCCCCCTTACCACATGAGGGGCACGATTCACTTTGTACGAAAACTCTTCGATGCCGCAGCTAATTCCTACCTGCAAGGTTCCCGCTTCCGATTTCGCTAGCAGAAAGCCACTGGTGGACTACGCTGGCGTTACTCCTAGTCTTCTAAAGGAGTTCGGGACTGGAGCTCCCTTTCCGTACAACGACTTGGCTACTAGGGCCGTGAAGATGCGATAAACCTGACGATATTCTCTTGTCGGTCGGAGTAAGCATGAATCTTTTCAATTTCTGATCGAGGCGTGAAAGGTTTTCAGACCGATGGGCTTTAAGCCGCTCTTTGAGATAGGTTCAATTTCCCATGCCGTACCTTGCGCAGGATACACTAGTTCTCTGGGGGAAGTTTGCCAGTTCATCAAGCTTACAGAGAAACTTGTCGCGCCTGGTTCTCATCAAGGCTGATCAAGAGCCTGTCTGGAAAGCATGTCTCTTAGCTATTGCCACAATGAGATTGACGTTTTCGCTACCTATAACTAAACAAGGGATGTTTATGTCGCCATAGTCAGAATCCTTGGACTTGACACCTGAAGAATTTGAGTTCAGAAACTGTGCTTTCATTTTGGTGATGTTTGTAAAACCTATGGGGAGCACTGCGCCAAGCATACCTCTTCGATGAAAAGTCGTCTCTCGAAGTCTTGGTCATCGGATGTTGCGGGTAATGAGTTCCAATTGAACAATAATCTGTTTCGTGCTTGAGCATCAGATGTTCTCTGAGTTTGGCTTCTTGTCCGATGTTTGATCAACTGCTCAAACCCTTCGGCAGCCCGTGCAATCCGGAAAGCCCTGGCGTTTGGACCTAGAATTCGGCATCCCACCTTTGAACATGCAAAGCTAACCTTCATCACAACTGACGTGGATCTGAGGCCTAGACGCGGCCATTCGGACCTTCGGACTTTCTTGGATTCTAGCCTTGAGCAATGACGTGTGATTAAATTTACAGCAAAGACTGTACATAGATATAACACAAATGGTCCGTCTTCGCTATATGCTTAGGTTAATCAATCCTCACGTTTACCTAAATGTCAGTCATCGAGCACAAAGCAATAAAACGCACATCATATAATCTTTCCCCACATCAAAGTCACATTTCAAGTCAACATTCAATGTGTGGTGTCGAACTAGAGACGGCTGCTCTTGGGACTTTCAGCGTAATGTTGTCAACATAGGCCTCCTTACTGCAGCTGTCAAGCCCGACACTGATGATGTTCCCCAATTCCACGATGTCATCGTCATCGGTGCTGGCTTCGCAGGCTTAACAGCCGCCAGAGATTTATCCCTGAAAGGCCTGAGCGTACTCATTCGCGAAGCTCGGGATCGCATCGGCGGCCGTACATGGACTGCAAAAGGTCAGAACGATGATTACGAAATGGGCGGCGGCTGGGTCCACCACCTGCAACCTCATGTGTGGAGTGAGATGAGTCGGTATGGTCTCACGGCGACCGAGAAGAGTTCCGGGATGGAGCAGGACAGCCCATTGAAAATCGATGGTAACCTCCAAAGCATGCAGGAGGCGGGCGCGTCGTTTGCCCCTCTCGCAGCTGCTTTCTTCGACGTCGATGGCCATGGCGGGCGAATTGTTATGCCTCAGCCGACTCGACCTCTCCTCAACCACGAAGCAATCGCCGTGTGGGATATCAGCGCCGAAGAGCGTATAAACCAGATGGATGTCACGGAGCAAGAGAAAGGGCTACTCAGAATATGGATGTCGATCTCAGGCCTGACTGATGTATCCCAAATTGGGTTCTTAAGTCTGCTACGACTTTATGCACTCTCTGGGTACAACCTCCAGCAATATCTTGAGATTAACGGAACCTTTAAGATCCCCGGAGGAACCACAGCGCTAGCCGAAATGATTTTCGCCGAATTCAAGGGTGCGTCGTTATTTAATCGCCATATCGCTTCTATCACCTCGCATTCGACCAGTGCAACAGTTCAGGTCAAGGGTGGCCAAGAGTTCTCTGCCAGTCACGTTATCTGCACCGTCCCAGTACATTGTCTCGCCGATATCGAATTCACACCTGTTCTGCCTCCTTCGGTAACCTCCATCAAACACCATAATCTTGGCGGAAAGCTTCATGTGCATTCGCCAAATGGAGCGGCTAAGTTCTTTGGCGTTACTACTCCTTCCAGAAATGCCTGCTTTGGCTTTACCGAGTCTGCTTCCAAAACTGGGGGTGTCAATATAGTTGCTTTCAAAAGCGCCCGTCTCGAAGCACCCGATTGGCCACAATTGACGATTCTGGATGACGCCCTCGACGATTTGAAGCCTGGGTCAGTGGACTTGGACAGTATTAACGAGTATCTCTGGCATGATTGGCGGAACGACCAGTTCTCCAAAGGAGCTTGGCCTGTCTACCCTGCCAAGGTTCTTTCGGAAACCCTCGGTACACTCATGGACAACAAGAATGTGTCTAGAAGGCTTACTCTTGCTGGGTCGGACTGGGCCGATGGCTGGGTTGGTTATATAGATGGGGCTATTGAGCAGGGGCGTCGCGCTGCGTTCGCTGTCGCTGACGAATTGGGCTCTCGGCGATGAAGTCCAGTTTAACACCACATGGATGGTCTGGCAGTTCCGACAATCGCTCACCCAAAAGGCGCATAGCTCCATTTTTACATTCTTGTACACCTGATTAGGTTCAGACGTGGGTTCATCAGCGTGATGGGTGGCAGTAGGAGGCGTTCAACAGGAACTGCTGTCTGAAGGTATGAAGTCGGGGGTCGGTAGCTGACGCCCCCGACCACGGAAAACGGCGTACGTCTGTCGCCGCGCTACCAGTGCTTTCTAAAGCTCAGGCATTTGGAACCCCGGAGTAGGAGACATCGTTCTCCACAATCACTGAAAGATCTAGGCCCAGAGCGGATATCCCACCGGTACGAACATTCTGATCTGAGCCACTTCACAAGTTGTAGGCCGGGGTTCAGTAGCTACCTAGTACATTATCACCGCTGCCTCCAACTACCCAAAGCCAATATTCTTGGGCGTAGATAAATAACCATCTCATCTCACCACTACTAGTTAATCTTTGGGAATAAACCAAGTGCCATTCTCTTGCCAGAACTTGACAATACCTTTGGATAAAAACTTCAAGATGGCCATCAGTATCAAGATTCTCCAGACAGGGACCATACGAATCCGCCCGTCCCACCGCCATCAGCCTGCAAGGAAAGCTGTAATTCTACGTCGTCTATCAGTCTTTCTTGACAGATCCTGGACGCCGCCACTGCCAATCAACACGTACCTAGTCGACCATCCTGAGGGGCACATCCTGTTCGACTCTGGTGAGTCTCCGAACAGTATGGAACCGGGATACTTTCCGTTCTGGATGCCCTTTTTCCACTTCGCTGTCGATATCAATGTCGGAAAGGACGAGGGCATCGGCTCTCTTCTCAAGCAGGAGAATCTTGCTGCCGCCGACCTCAAGGCAGTCGTGTTATCTCATCTTCACCATGATCACGGCGACGGGCTACCAGACCTTGTTGGAGCACCAGTCTGGATCAGTGAAGAACATTGGCAGACATACAAGAAGCCATTCCACGCTACAATTGAAGGAGCTGTTCCGAACCAATGGCCAGAAACATTCAAACCTCTACTTCTCCAGCCAACTGGTGGCCCGATTGGACCATGGAACCGGAGCTATCCTATAACCAATGATGGGAAGGTGGTGGCTGTTGACACACCCGGTCATGTGCCAGGACATGTATCGGTGATTGTATACGCCGATGACGTTACGTATCTCCTGCTTGGAGATGCTACATATGATCAAGATCTACTTGACAAGGAGCTCACGTATGGCGTCAACAACAATCCAGCGCTGGCAATCGATTCTCTGAGGAAAGTCAACGAATTTGCAAGTAGCGAAAAGATTGTACTCCTCCCTGCCCACGACCCACAGGCCGCTCACCGCTTGGCGGAGAGGATCATCTATAAACCTAGCATGGCTCAAAGTTCAACAGAGGACACGTCTCTGGATGCTACGTTTGGAGTATTTCTGGCGCTTTTTGGAGCTCTTCTGTTTCTATGGCTGAAGTTAAGGCAAAGGTATTAGTGGCAGGTTACCTTAAGGCATTCTCACTCCGAACTTGTCGGGTAAATCGTGACTTGATGTCAAATACCGTGCAACGGTTAATTTCCAACTTATAGTGTCTATGATGGGTTACTCGAACCTGTAGTGGTTGTCGAGTTGAAGTGGGACCGGCTTGATGCCGATGATGAAGTTCCCTTTTCTCTCTGCCAAGAATTGGCGTACCCATTTTCTGTGGACAATACTCCAGATTGAAAGAAACTCGAATCAAGGTGTTCATCCCGTATTTATCCCTCATAGACTTCTAAGCTTCTTGAATAAAGTGTCCAGTGAGCCAACAAACCCCCACGTCCGGACTACTCCGTCATGGGGCATCGGGAGGGTATCCCTGTTAAGCATGGCTGACACCCTGATCATGTCGCCATCTGATTCTGCGGTAGCGAGCTCTGACTTATTTCCGAAAGCAGCAGGCGCTCGCTCCCGTATGGACGATTCGGCGACCGAGACAACCGATCTCAAGTAACAGTTGCACATCAGGAATGACAGTTGGTTTACTACCTAGTACTGTCAAGATAACTTCAGTCATATCTGAATATGTCGAGTTCTTGCAGGCCGCTAGATCACGTTTCCTATGCCACGGCCAAGTCTAGTCTTAGTGCCTGATTGCTGACCCAATGTTAGATATCATCATGGCCTTGCTGATCATCGTCTTCCTTACGATCTGAGACGGTAGGTTGAATAGCAATAAACGACCCACCTGAAATCATTGCCGGGACTTATCAGGTACCGATCTTGATGTTAACGTCCAATAACAAGCTCTCCTAGGTGTGCACGTGGATCAGTCGTACTTCATTCAGGTCGTTTCCTCCGAACTCCCAAATCTAGCTAGGTTCATGCTGGAAAATCCATCCCCGGCCATGCAGCATCAACCTTCCCCACTGGGAAACGTGAGCATCCAACAAGCTTATCAGATTGGTCTGCGAAGGATTGTCAAGGAACATCGTGATACTTTACAATTTGGATGAGATCCTTGGCCATCGTCAAGCCAGACAGCTAACCAGGAAAGAAGCAAGAGACGTCGGGATAGCTCCGTCTCGGCCTCAATGACTACAGCATATGTAGGTACGGTCTAAAGCCTGGCGCGTCTGAGACTCAAGCTATAAAGCTATGGAACATCGTCAAACGGTCTAGTGAAATGGTGCTTCCGAGCATTCAGCTACCAGCAACTAACACTCATTTAACGCTGCACTCGTTTCAACATGCGATCCTTCACTCTTTTGTCGTTTGTCAGCGCCGCTCTCGCAGCTCGCCCATTCCTCAATGAACCCGACACTGGAATCGAGGAAATCTTTGGTGATCTCCCAGCTGGCGAGTTGCCCCCCCTAGACCGACTCGTCGGCTTGCCGGACTTCGACTGGGCAGCCCGCCACTACCTCAACGCGTCAAGCTACACATTCTATCGCAATGGCGCAGCAGGCGAGTTCTCCTACCGCAACAACCTTGAAGGCTTCCATCGCCTCCGCTTCCGGCCCCGCGTTATGGTCGACATCACCAAGGTCGAGTCGACGATGCCTACAACCATCCTCGGTCACAACTTCTCTGCCCCTTTCTACATTAGCCCCTGTGGCCGTGCTGGTCTGGGACATGCTGACGGCGAACTCGGTCTCGTCGGTGGTGCCGGACAGGAAGGCATTCTCTACATCCCGGCCCTCCGGACTACACGCTCCGAGGAAGACATTGCCAACGCTAGAGTTGATGGACAGGTGACGTTCCAACAAGTCTACCTCGAACACAACGACACCGCAACCCAGGAGATCTTTGATCGCGCCAAGGCTCTGGGCCACAAAGCCCTCGTCTTCACGGTGGACTCGGCCGCGGACGGTAACCGCCACAGAGCAGCCCGGTACGGCGTTGGCTCCGCCGATACCGCTCTTACTTACAACACCTGGGAATACTACAAGCATTTGCAGTCCATGACCGACCTGCCTATTATCACCAAAGGCGTCGGCACCGTCGAAGATGCTAAGCTAGCTGTGGAACATGGAGCACCCGGTATTATCCTTTCAAACCACGGCTCCCGCCAACTCGACAGCTCACCGTCAGGCTTAGAAGTGGCGCTGGAAATCCATGAAGACGCCCCGGAAATTTTCACGCAGACTGAGGTATTTGCCGACGGCGGCGTGCGGTATGGTGCCGATGTACTGAAGCTGCTAGCGCTTGGTGTTAAGGCCGTTGGCCTGGGGCGCCCATTCATGTTTGCTAATACGTACGGTGCTGAGGGTGTGGCGAGGGCTGCGCAGCTTCTGAAGCATGAGATTGCAATTGATGCTGCAAACCTTGGGGTCGCGGATCTGAAGCAGATCAGCTCGTCTTTCGTAAGTTATCATCTTCATTCCATCTGATTTGCAGCTTACTCACTGTCTCTATAGGTCAAGCTCAAATACAACGGCTGGTACAGCTGAGCGTTTAAATGGAAATGAAAGCCCTCGAAACGATGTTCCGGTTTCACGATTGGGTTGGTGATAGGGCCACGTTCCTCCAGCAATGTACTCAATTCTTTCAAGTTACGCCAAATTTAATTCGTTGTATTTGAATAGACATAGAATAAAAACAAGTCTTGACTGAACCAAAAACGAAATCACCGTTGCAGAGTACGTCGGCGAAATCTTGACCAAACCTGTCAAGTTATCCTGTGTTTTGTCTCGTATTAGTTGTCTTCTCGTCGGAAGGAGCGAAAGAATGATCAAAATAACAATCGTTTTATATAGAATGACGTCTGCTTTGAGAAGCCTTGTTGCAGAAGTTCGATCGGTTCCGGCTAGCCGGGGCCAACCAATTTCACCAACACACGATACTATGCTATTTTCGACATTGACATGCCCTGGGATGATGGCCGTTCTGAGTTTCAAGGCACATCCGCCCCTGCTAACAATCAACAAAGAGCCAGCATTGTCAGTATTGAGACATTTCGGCAGAGGTGTAAGTTCGGGTAGATCATGCCTGTTTTGGCACATCATTCCCGGATTGCCTCCAGTAGGCGGCCGTCACGAGTCGTAACTCATCAGGTACACTAAAGCTAGGAACGCCTTCTAAGGAACCTGAAACCTTGGCTCTAAATTATACATTGAAATACAGAAGAATGAGATGGGGAATTTTGAAGATCACTTGAGACTAAATTTACCGACATCTGATACCTTGCGACGTTATGATCCCAAATCGTGGCGGTCAGCCCTGGCTGAGTGTGTTATGTAGATGATTTGCCAGGAGGTCGAACACGCGGTTATCGACGTCTCAAAGCGTCGCATTCAATCTTGTGCGCTTACTAAGGCAATTGACAGTAATATCAGTTCATCTTCCGACTTCTCTTGCAATCTTTCTGACATACAATTAGTATATATTCCCCCTCTCGTACCGACATCCTATCTGTTCAGCTTCTCATCCTTCCGCTAACAGTCATTGATTATTTCTGTCACTTTTGCCTTGACTTGCCATCAACTTCTCAAAATGAAATACCCGGCTTTTCTTCTCGCTCTGGTTGCCGCTACCGAGGCCGCTCACTGTAATGCTGGATGGGACAAGCCCGAAGGAGCCTCATGCTCTCTTAACCAAGTACGCTTACCCACCATATCACAACAAAAGTTGTACAGCCAACTAACAAGCTCTAGCCCAATACCTACTGTGTAAGGGAGCACCTTCGCTATCTCGAAGAGTGTTATTAATATCAGATGTACAGTGTGAAGAACCCGGTAACAAAACCGAAACCTTCCCCACGCGCAGAGTGTGCCACAGTCCGTATAATGGCGAAGAGTCCATTCTTGTCAAATGCCTGGGTAGCGGTGTAAGTATCTGGCCCCTGAGAAAGTACTTCAAATCACTCACATTCATATTTGGGAATAGATTGTGCTCTGCGTAAGTTATGCCTTGTCAAAAGTCAGTGCTATTCTCACATTTACCGTAGTGCCCGTGATGGATAATTGGCCGAAGAACTTTGACCAAATGTGCTTCATGTTTATGAATATTGAAGGCATTTTGACCAGTGTTTGGCACTTACTGATGGAAGGAAGGTGGCAAACAGGTGGTGCAGGTGTTCAGTATGTTCTAGCCTTTTGATTTATTGGAACATCGCAACAGTATAAGCATGTTCATTCCAAGAAGCATTGAATTTTGCATTATAATTCAGCTGAAATTGTTCAAAAGAGTGTCCACAAAGTCAATTAGTGAACGGCTTTGGAAGTCTGACCTTGAACGAGAATCAAGTCATGCCGTACGCATTTCCTGAACAGTGCAGTGCATTGTTTGGGCGATGAGCGCGCTTCTGGTCTGACTGGGTGCCCAGAGCTTCTTGATGAGCACTCGATAGCCCACTACTGAGTCCTTTCCTATCGTTCTAACAAACCTACAATAGCCTTTCCTGCCGTCGAAGGCACGGAGGAAGATGAAGATGAGCGCCAGCCATGTCTGGAGCAGGCACTCGTACAGCAGTGGCATCAACGATTGTTCATGTCGAGTCCGTAACATTCTGCATAGCCTTATATCAACCGGATTGGATGATCTCACATGGGTGACGACACGACGTCGACAGTCCACACTGGAGAACTACCAAGTGTCGTTGTAGCCCTTGAAATAGCCGAGACAAACAGGCAGAACGGACATCACAGAAACGAAGCTTTCATCTACACTAAGAATCAAGTCGCGATCGAATCGTCAACCTATCCAAGCACCAATTATATGTACTGTATTATGAGATGGAAAAAATATATCTGAGCAGTCCGTAACTCCTAATTGTGTCTTGGCAATGATGACCATGTTGCGTTTTCGTTATGCTTGAATCATGAATTGTGCTCTCCTGTTCATTCGGCTCTGACCTTGGGTGCCAAGAGAGGGTGCGGCCTCGGCCCAGGACTCAGCATCTCTTGCTTTATTGGGATCTTGGTCTGCTGCTTCAAGTCCATCAATATTTGCGTGATCTTGTCGAGACGCTCGTCAATACGATCGATCTTGGCCCTACTGTTGGTTTCTGGTGGTCAGAAAGACAGACCAACTTGGGACCTGCCGGAGATGGCAACTCACTATTCTGGCGATATGAGCACTCTCTGTGCTTGGGTCCTGTGCTTCAGTTGGAGCTTTCGTTCGCACGACACCTTGGAAACCTTGCAGCTAGTACAGGGCGAACCCTTATCGCACCGAATCTGGCAAGGATGGTCAGCATCATGTGTACGTTGTAACATGAGACGGAGAGGCCGAAGTATCGTCGCATTTCGGCCTGCCAGAATGGCTGTGCAGCCTAGCGACTAACACTGGCTTGGACAACAACTAACCTTTCGAGAACGGCACCAGTCGCACTACCAATGCAGTAAAATTAGCCTCAACGTCAACTTAACAACTCGATCGATCGATGATTCATCATCGTAGTTTCTTATTGGTCCAACTCACCGATCGAAATGCCGCCGGCCGGGGCTCGACCTCCGCCCGCTCCACCTTGACTTGGTCCATGTCCAGTGGGTGTTTGCTTGACAATTGATCCGACCAACCGCCCGACGGACGACGCGGAGCGGGGATGGAATAAAAGGTTAGCCCGAAGACGATGGGACGTCGTCAGCCTTAGGAGGAAGATCAGTTTTTGAGTTGATTGAAATTGCTGATTAGTCGGGTTGGACCAGGTAAAAGAACGCCGCTCGCGTGGGCTCACGATCCGTCAGGTGGTGCGTCGGGCGCCCGTCGGACCCCGGATTTCCCGGGCGCGGGGTGGGAGAACATGTGCTTCTTATACATCGAATTCACAGTGACGATATAAACTGCTGTGTGGGAGGCGACCAACAGGATGCGGTCTGGAACTCTTGCCCTTATCCGCGATGTTGGTTGGCTTTTCTCCCGGCGGGTGCTCTTTCAGCGGTCCGCGGATACAGCGCCGGTGGCATGCCGTCTACCCACTTCCCGAGGGAGCGGATTGGGTAATTAATCGCCGAACGTCTACATTGACTTTGGAGGTGAGATGAACATTGCAGTGAGATATAGAGTCTGGCAGTTTGTTTGAAAACATGCTACTGGTCGTTTGCGTAGATCTTGCGTCGGGGATACACCCGATCACTAACTTTCCTCACTGGTAGAAATCCAGCCGTCTTCATTATCATCGTCGATTCATCTCGGCGGCGGGGTGCAAGGGCGGCGCGGACGGGGCCCGAAGAACCCGGCAGCCGAGGGTCGGGGACTCCGCGGGTTTGCGGGTTGGGTGAGTTGCAGGTCGGTCTGCCGCGGGCCCGAGGACATGGTACGTCACCGGCGAAACGTGGAGAAGCACAAATATCGACTCAATGTGAGTTCAATGGCATTCGGACGCCAAGTGGGATAGAGAAGGGCCTACAATTACGCCGCAATGCCCCGCTTAGCTTTGGACAATCGCGATCAATCAGCAATCTCTATCCCTGTGAAGGAGCTTGCGGATAAGAGGCCTCCGATTATCGAGGCCAAAGTCAGTGACATACCTCCGAAGTGCACTTGTCATGACTCTTGTTTCTCCCTTTCTAAGACCAGTTTTTGATGGTGATGCAGGGGATTCTGGTACACATATCAAAATGCACTAAACGCAGAAGACTAACGAGGGGTTTGTGGAGATTCCCATAGCATGTTAGCAGCCTTGCCGTATGCTGTGCCACCTACAGGTGTTGAGCTGAGCTTCAGAATTCGACCTATTAGCACCAGGTGTTTCTCGGTTACATGTGGCTCACACAACGGGTATCGCCGTGGAGGTGCAGGGCTTACTTCTGAATTTCTGACCTATCAGATGATGGTTGTATTGAACACGTCGACATGAGGTGGCTCGACAAGTTCCACTGCAGCCTGATCGCTCCTCCCGCACATATCCCATCCAATGCCAAGACATCACCTGTTAAAGCATCGTCAGCCTCAAGCTTGCTCGTCGCGTATCGTCTGGCTGAGGACATCTCAGATTTTGTCACCCTCCCTTGGCACGTCTCGCAAGGTCAATAACTTCATTTGCAACCGCGCCCCTTCCTGTCGACGTCAGTGTCTTCGTGAAGCCGTGGGAGCTTCGCCGTCTCTGCGATGCGACTCATCAACGTTGAAACAGGCAGGCTGGAAGAATTCCACAGCGATACGCCAAGCTATGCTATTTTGTCTCATACATGGGGAAAAGACCACGAGGAGATATCGTTCCGGGATATGCAGCAAGAGGGAGCATCTCAGAGACGTTTTGGAAATAAGCTAGATGGGTTCTGCAGACAGGCAAGGTCTGACGGTCACAGCTACGTCTGGATTGACACCTGCTGTATTGACAAAAGCAACGCTGTTGAGCTAGGCGAAGCCATCAACTCTATGTTCCGATGGTACAAGGAATCGTCTATTTGTTACGTTTACCTTGCGGACGTTTCAGGTCATAACGGAGAAGTAGACCTGGATCAATTCCACAAGAGCCGTTGGTTTACACGAGGGTGGACCCTGCAGGAGCTCTTAGCTCCTGGAAGTCTTAGATTCTACGACTGCGATTGGTGTTCGTTAGGAGAGAAGTACGAACTGGCTGGTGCTATCGGAAGCATTACAGGTATCCCACACGGGATTCTCCTTGGTTTCGATGATGTGAGCAATGCTAGCGTCGCACAGCGAATGTCTTGGGCAGCTAAAAGAGTCACAAAGAGAAAGGAAGACTTGGCATATTGTCTCCTGGGGATCTTTGATGTTATGATGCCAATGATATATGGGGAAGAGGACCATGCATTCATTCGACTCCAGGAAGAAATCATCAAGAAAACTGCGGACGATTCAATTCTCGCGTGGGGTATAATCCCTAGCTCCAACGACGGCGTTGAAACCGAAAACACCGACATCCATCTTTTCGGAAATGCTTTAGCCACTAGCCCTGCTGCTTTTATGCACAGCGGCAACATAGTGGCGGTGGGGAATGGGGACTCGACCATAGAGGGACTAGAGACCGCGAGAGGCTGCTTGCCGTTGCGTCTTCGTCTCAGCAACACCGAGACTGGACAGGCAGTCGGGTTTCTCAACTGTCAAGCCATGAACCACAATGGCTCAGTGGTGGGAATTCCTCTCTTTTGCATCACGCCTGGCGCAGTGCCACGGGAATACATACGACCGGCGGGGACAAAAGCAGTCCTGCGTGTACCTCCGACAGAGGCAGATTCGGCACCCAGACCTATTCGACTTCGCGCTTTGCTGCCGAGCAACAAAGCGGCACTGAGTCACTGCAAACACGGCTTTCACATGAACCAATGGTCTATGCTCCTTGAACCCGACTTGAGTATCGTCGAGGCCTATTCTGATGGACAATGGAGCCAAGACCGAGCGGTCGTTAGTACCGTCATGGATATACGACACAATACTGCTCAACGGTTTTGGTGGAAGGTTCGCCAAAAGACGGGAGTATTGAAAGACTTTGTAATTGCTCTCGAACTTGGCGTCAAGCAGATGGAAGTGCACGCAAGTTGCCATCTGATGGTTGCGTCTAGGGACACGGCTCTGGACATAATTGCTCGAGCAACAGCCGATTCAGATGGTTTTCTGGGCAGCAAGGTTGCAAGCAACAACTCTTTGACGTTGGAGATTAAGCTCTCCCAGGATTTGCCCGGTTCCAAACTCTTTATGGTTACTTTGGGAGCAGCGGCGAAACCACCACAGCCGATGGACATCGTGGTGGACGCAGATCAAGAGCTGAAGATACTTGCACACACAAACTCGCTTTTGACACTATTTGCAAAGAGTTGGCCGGTCAGCTTGAAGTTGTCAGAGTTCAAGAAATCACTGGAGGGCAAAGAGCAAGCTCAAGATCCACTCTTCCTCGATCTCCTAGGAGAAAAAGAGGAAATCCAGTCCCAAATTTCCCTGGGATCTCAATCGGTCCAAGAGTTAATGGCGCACTCTGAGAGCAGACAGAGACAATGGAATCGCTCGATGTTGATCAGTCTTTGTAGAGATCTTCAGCTGAGCGACATTCCTTCAACTGACGGTGTTTCTAAGCTCGCACGCGCAGCGTTCATACGTGCCATTACTGGAGGACATATCGCTGCCATGGAATATCTCTGGGCATACCCTGAAGTTGATAATACGGTCGAAGATTCCAGAGGGCGAGGCGCTCTAACCCTGGCAGTTGCTGCAGACAACATTCCAGTGCTGGAGTCACTGATATCCAAGCGTTTTGCTGTGAATCGATCGGACAGCTGTGGACAGTCTCCCTTAGGAACAGCGGCCCTGATGGGACACCATGCAGCCCTTCTGATGTTGTTGAAGAAGGAAACATCCATCAGCTTTCAAACCAGAGACGGCCAGACTCTACTAGATCTGGCAGTGAAGACAAAGCACCACGCAGTTGTCCGAACGTTATTGGAAAAGGGAGCAGATGTGAGAGGCGGGTTTCTAAATCGGTCTAAATCGCGCGCAACAGCTCACAATGAGCCTCCATTGGCTATGGCTGCTCGCCTGGGCTCTGCTGGCATTGTTGAATGCTTACTCGACTATGGAGCTAACGTCAACGAGAAAGGCTTGCCTTGTGTAGCAAACAAAGTTGGATTTCGAACCGACTGTCCCGTGTTGGCTATCGCTGCCGATATGGGTCACTACGACATTGTCAACTGCTTGTTACGCCGGGAAGCTGACATCAATGCAATCGATGGAGGTTGTCGAACGTCGCTATTATTGGCTGCCAGGAATGGTCATGACCGAATTGTTCAACTGCTCCTCCAGCAAGGCGCCGATATTGAGTTGTCAGACAGCAAGGAGGGCAGGACGCCGCTAGCATTTGCTGCCAGGAATGGTCATCACCAGGTTGTTGGTTCGCTTTTAAAAAAAGGCGCAAACATTGAAGCTAAGGACTTCGGGAGCCAAACACCAATTTTTCACGCCATTCACGCAAAGCGGGGTACGGCCCTGCAATTGCTTCTCAGCTGGGGCGCTGACATCAATGCCGTGCAGAGCGGAGAAACCTGCCTTTTTTACGCGATACGACAGGCGAATGTGGAGGCAGTTGATCTTCTTGTCAGGCATGGAGCTAGGATCTCGACAAAAAATAAGTCTGGCTATTTGCCATTGCAATATGCTCGAGATCAACGTGCCCGCCCCCCAGAGGAACATATCATTGTTCAAGAACAACGTCGACTACATGGGATGAAGCTAGAGGAAATCATTCGGATACTCGAGTCTGCCACCATCGAACATGGGGAGACCAAGCCAACATTCAAATCTAGAGCGCAAAACACGCTAGCACAGTTGATGAAGAGGTGAGTAAGCTTCCGAGGTACGCTTAAAGAGGCTCGGAGCATTCATCAAGGTGTGCCCTCTTAGAAGGGGGAAATAGGCAATGTTTCTGCATCCAATTACTCAATACATTTCGTAGATCTGTGCTGTGCCTTTGTCGACACGCAATCCAATGTTCTAGGCCCAGTGTTATTAGACATACTTCAAAGACCGATGTCTCAGATAACAACCTGATTCTGAACATCTGAACATCTTCTCTTGATCCAGGTCTTGAAGCTTGGGCCAGCTACCCCACAAACCATGTGGTTCACTGCATGCTGTGCCACATTGGCGCATCGGCAATAAAGCTCTATTGTTGGCAGCAACATATGGTATCCAACGACGGATATCAAGACTTACAATACGTGCTTGATATCCTGTTGCGCGCTAGCAGACATGACTCGAGCTACCCGACACTATATCTGGCACTACCGTTGCTAAGGCCGTATTTCCAAGCCGCTATCTCTAATTGGCATCGCCTGTCCATGAGTGGGGATCTAGACTGATAGCAAAGAGCTACTATGATGCGGGGGCCTCCGCTGTCACAGCACAAAGACCTGCCGGCAGTCAAAAACCCCGTTGCTGAAGAATTTTGTTTCCACATTCCCACATGAAGATCTTCGCTCGGGCGAGCCAGACAGAACCCGGTGAATGAGACATGTCCCACGCAGCATCCCAACCATCGCCAGTCATCATCGTGTAGAGCCCGCTCAAAGATGTCTCCCTCCCTGGGCGGCGTCGTGAACCCGTACCTGGCAGCCGGGGCCGCGATCCTCTTCGCTCTCATCCTCACCGCCCTCAAGCCAAGGAAACAGCAGCAACTCCCACCGGGAACGGCCCTCCCGCCGGGCCCGAAGCCGAAGCCCCTCATCGGTAATCTCCTGTCCATCCCCCCGGTACACTCGTGGCTCGCCTTCCACGAACTCATCAAGGAGCACGGCCCCATCGTCCGACTCTCCATCCCGGGCCAGGAGCACGTCCTCCTCGGCACCGAGACCGCCGCCAACGACCTCCTCCGCCAGCGCGGCAACATCTACAGCGACCGCCACTATGCGCCGGCATCATCGCACCTCCTCACGGACGACCACATGCTGCTGCTGCTCCCGTACGATGAGCAATGGCGCAAGTACCGCCGGTTTCTGCACCAGGTGACAATGTCCCCGGTCGCCCCGCTCTACGAGACGGAGCAGAAAATCGAGGGCATCCGCCTTCTACGCGACCTGATCCGCGACCCCAGCGACTACGAGGCGCTCTTCGAGCGTTTCAGCGTCGGCCTCGGCCTGCGCATCATCTACGGTCTGCGGCTGGAGAGCGGACATGACCGCGACGCGAGAATGATTCTCGACATCGTTCATGAGCTCGAGCGCGTTGGGTCGCCCGGGGCGTACCTGGTCGACCTGTTCCCGTCACTCATGTACGTGCCCGAGTGGCTCGCGCCCTGGAAGAAGTACCTTCGCGCACGACGCCGGCGCGATGAGGACTTCTTCCACGAGCTCATCGACCGCAGCAAGTCGCCGTCGTGGGCGCGGAACTGGCTAGAGACGAAGGAGCAGTGGGGTCTCACGCGACGCGAGGCGAACTGGATGCTTGGTTCCGTGTTCCAAGCCGCGGCCACAACCTCGGGGTCGGCGCTCGCGTCATTTGTGTTGTGCATGGTGCGGAATCCTGGGTGGTTTGAGAAGCTTCAGAAAGAAGTCGACTCAGTCGTCGGGCCCGATAGATTACCCACCTTCACTGATATTGCGGCGCTGCCTCTCGTGAGAGCGTGCGTCAAGGAGACGATTCGTGTCTACCCCATCACCGCCGGAGGATTCCCCCATCGTTTGACGGAAGACGATACTTATAACGGCTATTTCCTCAAGAAGGGAACTGTGGTGCATGCTGTGCAGTGGGCTATCCAGCGAGACCCGGAGCAGTATCCCGACCCTGAAGTCTTCAACCCCGATCGCTGGCTAGATCCGTCGTTCCCGACGTACAAGGAGCCTCTGACGCAGTACCCCAATCTGCAGAACTACTCCGCGTTCGGCCACGGCCGACGAATCTGCCAGGGTATCAACATTGCCGAGAGGAGTCTCAACCTCAAGATTGCGATGCTGGCTTGGGGTTGCAACGTTAACAGAGCCAAGAATTCTGCCGGAGAGGAGATGATACCCCCTGTTTACAATTTCGTGGAGGGTTTTAACGTTCAGCCAAAGCACTTTGATTTTGATCTCAAACCGAGAAGCCCTGAGAGAACGGAGCTGATAGAGAAAGCGTATGAGCAGTCACTGAAGGACGATCCCCTTCTACAGTAGCTTAATCCGGTGGGCAGTAATAATAAGAGTAATGATTATTCAATGAATTCGAACATCACAGCCATCTCTATTTTCTAATCACGTACAGCGCCCCGAAAAGTTCCAGCAAGATCATGCCACCCGATTTCACCGCCCATGACAGACCAGAAGAGCTTCAGTCCATTTTCCGTGATGACCATGGTTGTACAAACCCCATGAAAGGACAGGCTGAACGACAAGCAGAAAAAACAAGAGAACAAACAGCAACAGTCTCATGTTCCCAAGCCCAGCATCGGTGTGGTAATACTCGTCCCCGGCTCATTAAGCCTCCTCTTTACTTCCATCCCCAAGCTCTGGATCGCCCTGATCAACGGCACAAAGTCCTTCTCCCCTCTCGACGCAACCGTCATCACATCACACACCTGCTCAAGCAACGCGACATCGTCCATATGCGCGCGAACATCCGCCGAATGCAACACGCTGTTCATCAAACACGCGTACGCGACGTACAGGCGATACATGCCAAACAAAACACACATCGTCTCCGGGAACGGGTTCTTGACCAGCACCATGTGGACGACGCTCAGCAGACGGCGCGACGCGTCGACGGCGAGCGGCGAGTCGGGCACGTCGGCGTCGGACATGACCGGCCGCGGCGAGTTAGAGCGCAGCACGGAGAGCTTGCGCAGCATGAAGATGACGTACGTGTAGCCTGACATGGCGATGTCGCTCATCATCCAGGCCTCTGACTTGTTCTCGCTGGACATGGTCTTGGTCACCCACTCCTCGACGCCCCATTCTGCGAAGAGCTGGCCGATCTCGCGGCAGAGGTCCTCGGTCTTGGGCCGCATCTCCTCTTCGGTGCAGTTGCTGTTTTCGAGCTCCTGGAAGAACCGCGAGAGGATGAAGGTCTGGCGCGACCCAACGAGGAAGGCGATAGTTGGCACGGCGTTGATGTCTGGTTGTGCGTCTGCTGATAGCCAGGGCAGGTTGACCTTCCAGGAGTTGATGCTGGCAGTGATTGACGGTGGCTTGTTGAATAATAGGCGGAAGAAAAAGTCGATCTGGATCATTTCCCAGAAACCCTTCCGGTCGGCATCGAGTTTAGCCTGGTCTAGAAGAACACTGATGCCTTCTGTGTGAGCGTCGAGGTTGTGAATGTTCAGCTTCTGTGCGTAGTCGGTGGCGTAGGTGTACATCCGCCAGCTGAGCTCTTCGTCGAAGCATTCGGCAGCTGTGCGACACTGTAAACCATGATGAGTTAACGAATCCATTCCCTTGAACAGAGCACTTTTTGGTGCGAAGCTCACCATGAAGATCGCAGCTATGAAGTCTGTCGTTGTCCCTGTCGCTTCTCGTTGCCAAAGAGGCAGGGACCGAAGACAACATAGATACAGCATGCGGACATACTGCAAGCCGCTGCCGGCGTTGCCCTCAAAGGTTGCACCGAGAGCGCAACCATGGTAGAGAATGCCGTAGTATACCACGAGAATAGCTGGATCTAAATGAACATGAGGAAGATCAAGCAGGTCGGGAATCAGCTTGATGAGTTTGAGATTTATCAAACTGACAAACATCTCTGTTTGCATGTGGGTGAAGTAATCTGGCGACAGAATGAGTCATAGTTAAGGAAATGACGGGGGTTAAGTTCCGACATACTCTCGATCCATTGTTTACACAACTCTGGTGGGATGGTGACATTCTCAGTGATGGTCGCGGTAGCGATAGTCTGTAACCTCAGTCGTTGAACCTGATCAACGGCATCTTTCAAGATAGCCGCTGTGTCAATCTCAGGAGTCGCGCTCGGAGTGGCAAAAGACGTCCAGGGGGACGCCACCACCGCCGCGCTCGAAGGAGCCGGAGAGGAGACGTTGGACGGCGCGCTGTTGGATGTTGACGTGTGCCGCAGCGGGGCGGGAGGATCAGACGCGGGAGCAGGGGGTGCGGCATCTAGAGAGCCAACGGCTTGGCCCCCGTTCGGCAGCGTGGTGCAGTGCTCCTCGACGCGCTGTAACCGTTCCAGGATGGTTGAGAGCGCGTCATCTGTCGTGCTGGGGAGTCGCCAAGAAACGGAGTTTGAGCCAACGATCTCTCGTAAATCTGGCCATCGGAGAGACGGCACGGAGGAAAGTGGAGGGGCGGAGACTTACGAGAGGCGGTCCGTCAGGGTCTTGGTCACTTTCCTCTTGACCCGTTGGGGATAGACGCAGTCGATGTCGTGTGTTTTACATCTATCGCATGTCGGCATCACCCGACTACACCGGACCTGATGATATCAAAGACAACCCGTCAGTTGATGATTCTCGTCAACAGCGCTCTCGCCGGGAGGAATGCAGAACTGACCTTTCTGTGTTTGCATCTTTTGCACTACACACAGCGAGATGAGACACCAACTGTCAGCCATGAGAGCCACCAAAGCAGATACCCATTGCCCCTGAGAAGAAACAGAGAGCGGACAATGGGCCATGGGAATCTCCGCTACGCACCGAGAGCGGGTTCAAATGTGCTGACTGATCCGCCATGGCTGGCTAGGCTCGCGAGACGTTCGGAGGGCGGAGAAATGGGCTGTGAGGGGCGCGCGGGTGCAAGAGAGGGTAAACAGAGGGGGAGTCGGAAGACAAATAACCATGTACAGGCCCGCGACTAGCCCACCCGAGCCGATCTGACGCATCATGGACGTGGAATCTCCGGGACAGACATGGTTTTGTCTGCCAA